AAAAAAAAAAACCCACCACAGTTAATAACTGTGTTGCTATCATGTGTTCATCAGTCTAACTGCATCGGTAAAAATGGCTAACATGCATTTACTAACATTAATGCAAGCCACCTTTTCCCTTTGGGGTCATCTGGGGTGGGTTATCCAGGACCACTACAAGGTGCTTTATACAGTAGTGCAGTGTTTCTTCACTGTGCTTTTTCCAATGGTGCAAAAAACATTGTTATTGACAAGTGCAAAAGAAATGGCTGGCTTGGGGAAACTGCTTTTTATTCTCTGTCAGTTTAAGTACCGTGGCCTGGAACTGCCAAATATTCAACGTACAGATGTTCCAAGAGGCACTTCTCTGGAGTATATCCAGCCTTGGATATGTTGACTCCAGGAAGGGAAGAGAGCCCACTTTCCCTAACTTTGCATTTGCTTCCTGGATGGAAAAGGCACCATCCATCACATATTAAATGTGTTAAACATCATTGTCTGTGCTTTTTAAAGCACAACAGGCTTGAATCCATCTCTACTCTAGGTACTCTTGCAATAAATCCAAAGTAGATGAATATGTTGAATTTTTTAAAACAAGAGAGTTTTTTTTTGTGGTCCTGTTAATTTTCCTTTTCCCTTCGCTATGTCTCAAAAGGCTGTTCCAGTAAGTGATACCAGGCTTTTTGAAACAGAAGTGTGCTGCTTGATAATTTACAGACTTGATTATTCCAGGCTCTCTTGACCCAAATAAATGATCTCAGTGAAATGTGCCTGCCATACCTGCTGTAGCATATGTCTATATATGTCTATAAGTGTCGGTATAGTTAAGGCGGCTCAAGGTTGCGAGGTCCTTCTCAGGAGTGGACTACGGGAGAGGGAATTGTGGGAGCCTGCTGCTGGACCCCATCTCTCTCCTGTGTGTCTGAAACCTGGGAAGAAACCAAGTACGTTACGTGCAGCACTTGGTTGGGTGATTTTTGGAAGGTGGGCCTGCTCACCTGCTCGTACACACTCAGTATTCCTGGCACTAAGTCCACGCTGTTGAGAAGCAAGGGGTGTATCATGCTCGTGGACGTGGGCAGGGCTGCTCAGGTGCCCCGGGGTATCTCCGGCCTGGAAGCAGGAGAGCTGGGCTCTGCTTTGCCACGTGTGCATGCGCAGTGTCTCTGCAGCTTGCCCAGCTCGCTGGGCACTCGGTAAGGTTTCCCTGCTGGATGATAAGGAATCTGTTGTAATGTGTCATTTCCACATGTCTTTGGAAAGGCTTGTAGGCTTGTGCTGTAGGAGGCACGGCAGCTTAAACGTGTCTCGCTTGTCTACAGTGAAGTGTGGAAGACAGGCAGGGCCTAGGTGTGATTTCTAGGCAGAGGAGTTGAAGGAATAATGTTTGATGTTTATGTTGTTCTCTCTTGAAATCTATGGTGAAATTTGAAGCGTTGTTGTTACGACGTTTGACCCTTCTGTACACATACTGTTTGATATTTGGCCAAAGCTTTTTATAGCTGTACTTTTACGAAGAGCAGTGACCTTTTGCTTTTCCAAAGAAAAGATTTGTTTGTTTCTAACAAAGCAATTTTACGTATAATTCCTGAGGGGATTTTTCATTTTTATTTCCACACCTAACTGTTCTTTCAGTCAACAACAATGTGTCTGCTAGTTTTTTGGGAGAGGAGGCTGTCAACTGCTTCCAGGAAATAGTCCTTCCTGTTCCCTCCCCCTGCCCTCTTCTAAATCTCTAAGGCTCTTGGCTCTTTTCAGGGTTTTAGTAAACATCTTAATACTTTTTTCCACTAAAAAAGCCCTGTTACAAAAAGATAACTTAGTTGTTCTTATCTTCTTGGAGAGTTTTCAGTGTTTTGCAATTGTGGATATGAGCTGGATATAAGATTGTGTAAACCAATGAATTAGAATTTTTATTTTTCTTTGGTGTTGGAACATCAGTCTTGCCTTATCAGCACCTTTGAATCTGCTTGAGTTCTTATTTCTCTTAACTTTATATGCACCTTTATACTTTTCCTTGCTGCTCTTGCATGGGGCCCAAAGCTTTTCCTAATAAATGAATTTTATTTATTTCTGCTACCAATGGAAAATTATATATGGATTTTGAACTTTTAAGTATTAATAGGATACAGGATGTAATTTTCAACTCCTGCCAAGCTGATCACAGCTCTCTGTTATGTACAACTGTCTCTGCTTTTGCTTTTGTTGCCATCTAGTTTTTCCGAAATCAAACATGAAGAAAATTCAACCCAATTCATTGCATTGCATCTGAGAGATGTGTCCTCTGTGACAGTTTGGTTGGTGGGTACCTTTCTGCCCTGTTTGGAAAGTTCCTGCATGTAGGGTCAACTTTGACTGGATGCTTTTCTGAGGTGTGTGTTGATTTGACTGCTAAAATTTTGTAGTGATATAGTAAGAATATTTTCTGAGGAAACGTCTTGTATCTTGCTGTATTACATAGATTAGTAACAAAGATAATCCTTAGACCTGTGTTGTTGGCATCTTTGTTTCGAACGAGTTGTTACTACTGTTCTTTTGTATTTATTTAGAAAATCCTGTGTCATTGTTTTGTTAAGAATCTGATGAACATTGCTTTTCTTCATGTATTTTCTCCTGGCTTTCTGGGAAGCAACTTGCAGAGAACCTGTGTGGATGTTTATTCTGTCATTACTATGGTATCTAGGTAATTGACTTTACCAGCAATGAAGAAAACAGTTTTTTTTGTTTTTAGCCTGTGTCGGAATGAGCGTGGGAATCTGTTCTCCTGCTGTAAGCCTGGCAGGTAGCATCACATCTCCTCTGGATAAGTTTCATCTCCCCATGCTAAGGGGCTCTGTGGCTGACAGTGCCCTAGGAGTCATGGGGAGAGGGTAATTGTTTTGCTCTTTGAGTTGCTGTGTGCCTGGATGGAGCAGCCAGGAGGAGCCGTTTGTGGCTGGTGGCATCCTGCGTTAACTCATACTTGCTCCAAACCCGCTAGAATTGGAGGGTGAGTTTCTACTGATGTAAGGATCGTTTTGCTCTGGGCTATATGGACTGTTGACTTTGAGTTCCATATTCTGCCCTACGAGTAGATTGCTTGACCTAGGAAATAAGTAACAAGAAAAACTTTGCAACTTGTATACGCTTTTAAGGGTTTTAGAAGGTTGAGTTCTTCCCTAGCTCCTTGTTGCTTTCTTATTAGAAAGCAGCGTTTGTCAATTTGCCTGTTTAAAATCAAAACAAAGCAAAAACTAACTTAGTGACAGTGACAAAGCACAGCTTCAATTTTCAGAAAGCTTAGATCTTCAGAAGATAAACCCTTTGGAATTCAGCCCTCTGAGTGAGACATGCCGAGTATTGTAAACATGGTGAAGCATGAAAGCAGTATTTAAAAAAACAGTGGCAAGAAGTGCTGAAGCACATTAACACTGAACAAAGCAGTGTTACAGACGACGTGTGCTATCCTTCTCTAAAATATTTGTGTATTTTATATGGGTTAGGAGCTCCAACTATGGAGAAGAATTTTCATAAAAAATATTCCTGACATATTATATTCTGTTATTCAAGGGCTGAAAGAATCTTTCTTTTGCTTTTTTCAATTGGGAGTAATTACAAAAATATACACTGTTCTTGGAGCTCAGACTTCGCCTTGGCTTGATTTAACTTCCTGTGTCACCCTGCAGATGCTTTTGTACCACTCCCCATTTTGACATGCGCTTAAAGTTTAGTTTGTCATCTGGGTCAATTACGTCAAAATATTTTCCAATTGAAGTTTCCTCTGCTTTTCCCTTCAGCTCTTGGCTGCCGCAGTTGAAACAGATTAACGAGGCTTGGAAAGGCTGCCTGCTTTGCTCTGGGAAGAGCTGTCACTGAGGTTTTGGAAGATAGTTTAGCTTTCTGACAGGGATTTGAGCAAGCTCTCCTTGGACTCTGGTTGTGAGCAGAAGCA